AACCTCTTGGGGGGAACAAAAAAAGGACTCCGAGTGAGAAGGCATGAGTATTTCAGTGCAAGAGTGAAGGAAAGCCTCCAGGGATGCCACACATTAACCGCATCTCCTAACTGTTCTCTTTTGGAAGAAGCCTGCTACAAACAAAGCTCAAGATTCAACTGAAAAAGTAAACCCTCACCAAGAATAAATCAACAAATAAATCAGAATGAAATACAACTGGGATCCATCGGAGATACGCACAAAGTGTCCACCAAGCCGAATTCCTTGTAGCCCAAGTCCACGCTGCAGAAATCACTAGAATGTGCTATGATGATCTCCCCTGCTCTGCAGGGATGATGACAGCAGGACTCCCTGTAAAGTCTGGATCAGAGAGGGAGATGGAGGTGAAGCATGGTGGTAAGCTCACCTTCCTGCAACCCATATTCCTGTTTCAGACATATTGACCGAGAGCTTATCCATCAGTCTGAAGGAACAGAAACCTGACGCTGGCCCACAACATGGATTTTGATCAGCTCTGTGCTCCTGAGGGCATGGAGAGCACTGTCCGCGCTTTGAAATGCGGCTTGCTTGCCTACAAGACCACCGTTAGGCATCTTCTGCTCACCTTGTCGCCTCTCCAACAGAGGCAACTTTTGCTGCCCCAGCAGAAAAGTGAATGCAAACCAACTCCCATTCCCCCCTGCCCTTTTTTTCCAGCAAAATGTTAACCCCCTCATTATCACAGGGCCAACAGGAACCCTTCCATTACAGACTGGCATTAGCTCCGTGTGGTGGATCCCAGCCTTGGGAAGATACTTATGCTGGATGGGAAAGTGCTCTCAAGGATGAAGCTTTACTGACAGAGCAGGAGAAAGCCTTTGCACACAGAGGTTTTGCGGCAACCCCCTGCAGCAGGATGCTGCAGTAGGACCACAGCTCAGCCTCCAGAGAAGCAATGAGCACTTGTCTTTCCTCTGTGTGTTCCCAACCCTCACCACTACTCATCGTAATGATCCACATATTTTTTTTCCGTGAGTGCTACTTAAGGCAACAACCACCCACAAATGACTACAGGGAGAGGGGTATGGAGGCGAGGGGATTTTCCCCAGCCTTCACTAGCACTTGGAAAAACCATGTTCATATGAGGGTTCCTCAGTTACCAGAACTGCCTTCCGATTCACACCTGAAAGTTTTGTGGGTTCACTCCCCACCCTGGGGACAAATCACACTCAGATCATCTCACCCACCCCAGCCCAAAAAAACACGCCTTTAATAAGGCAATGACTAACCCTGAGAAATTCTCGTAGACAAACCGTCTCCAGGGATGTTTGTTACTCGAAGCGAGGTGGCTGTTTCCTCCCGAGGGCTCTGATCTAACAGCACGGAAGGCCCCCAAGAAAAGGGGTTCTCCAATTTCCTCCCCACTTGGTGAAGTTGAACTCAGATTTGGATCTTTGCTTTGAATTTTTATCAGACATGAAAATGCTTTGCCTTTCAAAGCACGCAGCTTCTGCCTGGGCATCCAACAGAAGAGGCAAAGTAGCCCTGCTTTAACTCAAGGGTGTGGAGCACGACCTGGGCAGCAGCAAGGTCCCGCTCATTTCCATCACCTTGGCAGCATCATCAGCCTCAACGGTACAACCCAGCCAGCTGGATCCCAGGTCAGAAAAGCTCCTGCCCATTTTGCTGGTTAACTCTGCACTTGAAGCTTCGTTTTTCCTACTGGTGTGGAAATGCATCTCCCACGTCGTGCCCCTTTGCAGCCGGGGCAAGTGCGAGCCACACGCCCCAGCGGCAGCCCCCGCCTCGTGCCCCACCGCCTGCGCAGACACGAGCCTTTGTTCTCCAGAGCTGTCACTCGAGAGCGAACAAGCGCCCGACAGCGAGCTCACCGTGGCAGCTCTGCGCTGGCGACGAGTGCTTAAGGTACAAGAAACTTTATAACCTGGACGTGACAAGTCTGCTTCCCACAACAGGGACGATGGCAAGGTCTCCACCAACAGACATCACACCCACTGGGGAAAAGGAGGGAAGGTTGGTTGGGGAATACAGAGGAAGGTGAAGAAATGGGAGAAAGAGAACAGGAGGAAGCATGGAGGCAGGTATGCTGCCAAGTAGCAGAATGCAGGAGATAAGAGAGCTGGGGAGGAGGTAGAGAGCTCTTTGAGATAGGGGTGGTTACCAGGAGCTGCTGAGGTGTGATGGAGTTGTCTGTGTAAATGCAGAGTTTCTCCACGGTCAGGGGCATGGTTTCTCGCAGCTTGGAAGCCAGGAGCATGCAGACTGCTCCCAGAAGCTGCAAGTGATTTTTCCGCATGCGGACTGATGACAGGTAGCGATCCACGTAATTCATGGCCAAGGGGAAGACCTCTTCCTCGCACTTCTGCTCCTCGCACACCTGACAAAACCCAATTACAAAAATAAAAAAACATAAAAGGAAGTTTTAATCAGCACAGGACTCCCAGATCCTGCCTGCACTGCAGCTTCAAAGCTTCTGGTCATGATGGTGTTTCACACTTATCTGCAGGGCTTTGAAGGCACCTTGGTGCTAAGGAGTAACTTAGCTTCAGGTGTTAAGCCTATGACTTCAGTGGGATTACACCACCCACAAGTTTGACCAATGCCTTAAGACTTCATCTTCCTGTGGAAAGCAGCAGAACTTACATGTAGCTAGAAAGAGTGCACAAATAAGTTCAGACCAAAATTGCTTTATTTGGACCCTTTTTTATGTCCCCTGTTGGGGATGTCTCCAGCCAGCTGTACAGCAAAGCTGCCATTTTCTGCTCTGGGGGGACTGGGAACCTCATGAGAAAATGAACAATTCCAGCGTATCTCAGCTGGAGACCTAATAGGGCAGAACCCACAGTCACTTCTGGCAATTCCACCTTAAGTGGTCCACAGACACGGGAAGAATCAATGGCAGAGCCCAAATCAATGGTCGAGTCTGAAAGCCTTCCTCCTCCCTCAGCCACACTTGTGCCACAGCCATGAACGAATCCAGGAGCTCTGAAATTCAGTCCTCCGCTCTCATTTCTCAACCAGTATCAAAACACTGGTCATATTTAACTTCCTTCTTTCAATGCAACCGTAAAAATATTGAGGTTTCTTCTCATACAGCAGCAAACACCACCATTCTCCTTCCCCTGCGCAGACTGCCATAGCGCCGGGGCCACCGACACGCACGGTCATGGCAACTGCCAAGTGTCATCCACTTCTCGACTGCCTTTAGGGCTTCGCCAGAACAGGCTCCAAAGCAGCATTTATCTAACTACGCTTCTCGGAAAGGGAATTGCAGAAACAGAACAATAATAGCAGGGGGAAAAAAAAAAACAACAAACCAACTTTAAAAAGCAAGATGTTCATTATTTCTTTTGACAGAAGCAGCAGCTTCTTGCAACAGCAGCCAGGGTGGAGAACAGGCAGGCTTGATCCCAACATCATTTGTCCTTTGCAGAATCTCTTCTTTCTTTCTTTCTCTATTGAGACTGTTCACTCTGACCATCTCTTGAAGAGGCCCATGAGATTTCCCCCACTGAACTGCATCCCGCAGAGAGCCGCATTCATTTTTAATTTAGGGAAGTAAATGGTAGCGATATTATTTTCCCCCTTTAACCAGGCATTTTCAGCCCCGCTCAGGAAACGCAAGTCTCTGGTCTGCGGGGTGCAACGAAGTTTTGGGGAGCAGAGTGCGAACCTGGGGTCTGCTGGCAGCGTAGCAGCACAGCACCAGGACGGGGTGAGCACAGGCTGGGGGGGTCCTGTTCTTCCTGCGAGGGTCAATCACATCTCCCAGCACAGCCAGTACCCACAGAGACACTGCCCCACTGCAGACTGCCTTCCTCACCCGCCTCCGGACCCGCCACGTGC